TTTTATTGCCATCTTGGAAAACATCAACCTTACATTATTTTTTCAGGTGTGCAAGAGAAAATATAGCATGGAAGAACTACTAATTTATCAAAACTTACTCAACAAGATCCTTGCATTATCCAATGCAAAAAACCTTGATAAGTGATTCTTTGACTTCTTAATAGATATAAAATTAAAAAATTGTAAGATGAGAGAATATGATTGGTGTAGTGTGCATAACCTATATACTACAGAAAAATCTCTAAACCTGCAATCTTTCTAAATTTATACTTGCATATTAAAGAAAAACTACTTAAAATCTGTCTATATGTTATTATATTTACTATAAATATATGTGATTACCTATTTCTTTATACCTTATTGTTGATTTTAACCAGTTTAAAAAATCTTTAATTGGAATTTGCTATTTGCTTCCTGATTTGAGTGAAGTGCCATTATTGCTATCCATTATGGTTAAATAAAGTTCAGCACATATAGTATCAAGATCCAAACAATAAAGCCTTAATACTGCATATAGGTAGAAGCAAGAAAAAAATAGACAAATTAAAGAAACAATTAGTTAAATTAAGTGCCAAAGAATTTATTAGATCCAGTATTTCATCTTTTGGTATTTTTATATTATTTGTCTATAAAAAAGAAAAAATATTAAAATTCTATGTTAACTATTATACTATACTTTAAATAAGATGACTATCAAAAACCAATATCTATTGCCTCAGATAAAAGAACTAATGGATCAATTGGCTGGAGTCAAATATTTTAGCAAAATTGACCTGTACTCTGAATATCATCAAATTTATATTAAAAAAGAAGACATTTTCAATATTGTATTTTAAATTAGATATGGCTATTATGAGTTTTTTGTTCTCCTTTTTAGATTAACCAATGCCTTGCTAATTTCATAACATTAATAAATGATATCTTTTGAAAATACTTGGATGATTTTATTATTGTGTACCTAAACAATATTCTTATATATAGTAAGACCAAAAAAAATTATTTACAATATTTGCAAATCATTCTAATGACTTTCTGAAAATACTATCTGTATGTAAAGGCCAAGAAATATAAATTAATGCATCCAAAAGTTGAGTATACTGGATATTACATTTCTGCAAAAGAAATAACTATGGACTTACAAAAGATTTCTATTATCAAAAATTGATCAATACTTATTAATATTACAGAAATATATTTCTTTTTAGGACTAGCCAGTTATTATTAACAATTTGTACAAGGATTTTTTACTATTGTCAGCCTTCTGATCAATCTTCTGCACAAGGATTAAGAATTTTCCTGAAACATCCTGGAACAAGAAACATTTGAGAAATTAAAAAAAGCTCTTATCACAACCCTGGTTTTGTTGTTATTTAATTTTATTAAATCTTTTATTGTTATTACAGATACTTTCAACTTTGTTATTGAAGCTATATTGATTTAGAACCAAGAACAAGTAAAACAACTGGTTGCTTATAACTCAAGAAAACTTTCTCCAGCTGAATTAAACTATCCTATATATAAGAAAGAATTTCTGATTATAATACATGCTATTAGAACCTGGTACATATATTTGGAAAGACAAAAACTCATAATTATAACTGATTATATCTTTTTAAAATATATCAAAACTCAAGCCAATCTTTTCAAATAACAAGTAAAATAGTTAGAGATTCTTCAAGTCAATAATTTTAAAGTTAGATATTATTTTAAAAAAACTAATGTTGTTGTTGACATATTTTTAAGACAGTCACATCTTATTACTATAACTGTGTTAAGTATCAAGCTAGCAGATGACCAAGTCTTTAAAGAAAAATATACTAATGACAAATATTTTGCTTCAATATAAGTCACTTTGGAAAATCCTGATCAAGCTATAGAGAAGCAATATGCCTATGCCAAATATTTTAAATGAAAAGATAATAGCATTTACTTAAGAAAAAATTATCTCTAGTCATTTTAAAGAACAAGATATTGAGAAGTCACATTCTTAAAGAAAACTATAATATAGATATTGTTAAACACTCAAGAATTGACAAGACTTTGGATGCTATTATAAGAACTTATTATTGGTTCAAGATGTATAAGAATATATAAAAATATATTCTAATATATAATTTGTATCAGCAAAACAAATCAAGTAATTAACAATCTGTTGAACTTTTTCAACTCTTGCCAACTCCAAACCAAAGATAAAAAGAAGTTACCATAGACTTTATTGTTTAAATACCTTTAACTAAAAATAGACACAATACTGATTAAGAATATTAGATATAAGATTTTATTGATAATATATAATTTATTATTATATTAAACATTTTTACAAATTGAATTATTATTATTCTAAATATAAATTAATATTATTTAGTAATTATCATTTCCAATAATACTAGTTTTTTTTAAATTATTTTAATTAATTAACTTATATTTTAAAGATAACTTATATCTAGATAAGATTCATACAAGAAAAAAAAAGTTATATTACTAATTTTATTTTATTTTTTCTATTGATTCAATTGTATTTTTCAGTTATTTATTGAAAAAACATATAAAGTATTATTATAGAGATTAATTTCAATTATTTCAATTATTTGTTATTACTAATTTTTAAGATATGTTACTAGTATAATATAGTATTACTATTTTTATTACTTGTAAAATTAATATTTTTGTTTAATTTCTAATTTAATCTTATATAATTTTTGCTAAATATTTTTGACTTAATAATTTTTATTTAATTTTTACTATATATAACTAATAATTTTATTTTTTAATTCATATTTTTAAACATTTATAGAATATTATAATTGAAATAGATTTATATATTCTAGATTAGAATGAATTGACTTAAAATTAATATTTTTTTATGTTGTATTATAGAGTTTATCATGTTAAAGAAAATATGAGCTTTTATAAGAATTAGATTAAAAATCTTTTCTTATGCAATTTTTTTTATTTTAATCTATTTTCAGTTTGTAATTATTAAAAAAAACCAAAAATTCTATTTTATATAGTTTAACTAATTTTAAATAAGAGCTAAATGATTAAATATAACATATATATTGTATTTAAAACTATAATAATAAATAATATATTGTATAATAGTAATTTTTTTTTTAAAAAAAGTTAATATTGATAATTTCATAATAATATAAATTATTTATACAAGTTATAATTATATAATAAATTAAATTTCTATTATATTATATAATAAATTCTTATAACTTAAATACAAATATATAAATTGACTATACAAAAATATTTTTATTTCAACAATTATTTTTATATTATATATGAATAATTTAAATTGGAAATATGAGAATATCTTTTTTGAAGAAATGTATTAAGCTTATGATGTAAATCATACAAAGATAATTGGGTATCATAGCTGTAATACAAAAATCAATACGCGTTCTAATATACAGTATACATTATACAATATACAATCAAAGTTCGAATATGGTAATTGATAGGAGAAATAATGGAAATCATTAATCGGTATACGTACTTCTGTAACATCTCATTGAAGGTAATGTGGAATATAATTGACCTGCTATACAAAATTGCTCAATTGGGATAATTCGTCAACAATCTTTTCTCTTTTGGAACTTGCAATTAGCCGGTGACGTATGGCGCATAGTTATTCCATTGAGTGGAGTTATACCATTGATTACTTTCTGAAGATCTCTACATTAATGTTGGACTAATCATATGTGTGAATATTGTCAAACAAACAATTAAATGAATTTTCATTACGACAAATTTTGAACGTTATATAAGACGTGGAATCTCATTCCTCTTATTAGAATTCTCAAACACCACATTCAATATTTACAGAAGTAAACGTCGAACAAAAATCAAATCCTTCCAGGATAAACATACATTTTCGTTCACTTCGCGCTTGTCAGAATTTCCAGTCATTGTACCAAATCCATATTCAAGTTCCGTAACAAAATGTACACCACAGCATATCACAGATATTCTCCACCGAGACTCGTCGCCTACGTGGTTATATTCTGTGTAGTGTCATTAATTTTGTTGACATTCGCACTCTTAACAACTATTTACTTCGTATACAGCTATTTTGATTATATTTGTGAGATGGTGGTGGTTTCGAAATCGTTGCTGTTAGAACGGATGAGTGTTAACCCTTTTTCGAGTGTGGTAGGAATAAGTCAGGAACCGATTATGATATGGATTTAACGTTTGCAAGGAGATTAGTTGGGTGTAATTTTTTATCAGGACAACATTATTAGATAAAATCTTTATCATTTCTGTATCATAGTATTGAAGCATACGGTACAGATTTATTTGAAGTGACTCTTTCATCTTTCTCACGTTTTGTAAATAGGTGTTTCAATGTAATTAGAATTATCTTTGACAATATTAGGCGTTTCGTTTTTTTCTTGTTTTGTGCATTGGGTTGTAATAAGCTTAAACGATTTTAACGTTGCGAAATATTTGCAAAAATAAATATACATTTTACTTGTAAAAAACAGTATACAATATAATCTCTTCAATAACTGGGATTCTGTTGATTTTTTTCTTTTGCTAAAAGACAGTATTCGTTATGCATGCATGCATGCATAAGTAACATTTTAGAGATCGTGATTCGCGAACTGTGTCTCGTATGACAAATTGTTTATCACTGATTGTCTTAATGTCAGCACATGCGGATGTTACATCAACCTTACAGATATCCGGGCAATATCACATCTCGAAAACTTACGATTCTCGCTCTTCTCTCTTTTTTTTACGTCCACAAATTTTGTAAATTTAAAAGAAAGTAAGTATATTTTTTAATTGTCATCTTTTTGATGAGGAATTAATGTTCTTTTACGAACCATTTTATAAGATGTAATTTATTAATTATTGGATTTCTTGATCCATTTTTTTTTTTTTGATTTTTTTCTATGCAAAATTATTCCGTTACAATGTACTTTTGTGTTCATCGATTTCCTGATAAACCTTGTATACTACTTTATCTGGTCAAAGTATAAACCATGGCATCGATTAATTATGACCAAATAAAGGAAGCTGCCACTCATCATCCAAAACCTCAAGATATCAAATATACCTATGGAACTGCCGGGTTTCGGATGAGGTATTTATTTCCTTCAAAAATCCATTAAAATGCATTCGATTTTCATAATAACCCTTTCAATTTTTCTCATTATTTAGGGCGGATCTTTTGGATTCGGTAGTCTTTAGGGTCGGCATTCTAGCGGCTCTACGCTCAAAGAAACTCGACTCTAAGTTTCTCGGAGTCATGGTTACTGCATCGCATAATCCAGAAAGGGTAGAGTGCATACTTTGATATTGACACTGTTTATGGACATGTTTTTTTTTCTGAATTTCTTGTGTCTTTCCGTAGGATAATGGAATAAAACTTGTGGATCCATACGGTGACATGTTGGAGCAATCTTGGGAAGAATATGCCACGCAATTGGCAAACTCTCAGACTGAAGATGAACTTGTGGAAGTAATTAAGCGTATCGTGGTTGAAAATAATATTGATGAAACGAAAGAGGCTAACGTGGTATATGCTAGAGATACAAGGTTTGTATAATTACTGTTGATCACGAGATCATATATTTGAACGAATGTTCACTTTCTTTTCCGTTCACGTGTAATCTCCCACATAGGCCAAGTGGTCCGGCATTGGTGATGGCACTTGAAGATGGATTAAAGTCTGTTGGTTCCGAGGTTATTGATTTTGGTATTAAGACTACCCCACAACTTCATTATATGACTTGTTGTTTGAACACGAAAGGTACTGAAAAGAGTTATGGAGATCCCTCTGAATTGGGATATTACAAAAAACTAGCTGAAGCTTTTCGAAAGGCTGTGGTATGCTTAATTTATTTTAAAAAAGTTACACGATAAACGTACTGAACATTCACGGATTAATGGGTGTCTTATTTATTTACTTCAAAATTTGTTGTTTGTAGGATGGTAAACCACGAATATCTGCGTTATATGTTGACTGTGCCAATGGCGTAGGTGCCCCTAAACTCAGTGAACTTGCAAGGCATGTTGGTGATGATATTTTGGAAGTCATAGTAGCTAATGACGATACGAGGACTCAGGGAAAACTAAATCATCTCGTAATCAATCATATCTTAATCTTTAGTGATTCATCAATGTTTATGTATATATATTAATTTATTTATTTTTACGCAAATTATCGTGTTAACTTCCTCATCCATCTAATATAGTGCGGAGCAGATTACGTAAAAACCTGTCAAAGATTACCACTTGGAATGGACATTGAAAAAGGCAAACGAGGTGCATCTTTGGATGGTGATGCAGATCGTATTGTATTTTATTTTGTCGATGAAGGTTTCTATATCTTTTTGTTCTATTTCATGTTAATAATATACAACACCCATTAAATATTATTTTTACGCGGTATCTTTAGATGGCACATTTAAACTGTTGGATGGCGATAAAATCGCTGCGCTAGCTGCCAGTTTTGTCATAGATCTTGTAAAAACTGCTGGAGTCGAAGGAGTTAAGGTAGGCGTGGTTCAGACCGCGTATGCTAACGGCAGTGCTACCAATTACCTGAAAAACGTGATGGTTAGTCTAAATTACTTTGATCCATGTGTTATTTTTCATGTTATTTTGATTTTACCTTGAAAGTTTCCAACATATTAGAAAGTTCCCGTATCCTGTGTATCTACTGGCGTGAAACATCTCCATCATGAAGCCACAAAATACGATATTGGTGTTTATTTCGAGGCTAATGGGCATGGTACCGTCCTTTTCAGTCCTGAGGCATTGAAAACAATCTCTTCTGCTAAATGGTAATTATTAGAAAGTTTTTTTTCTCTATTTTGAGAATTTACTCATAATTTATATGTAGTGAAACGGCAGAACAAGAAGATGCTCTCAAGAGATTACGTGCTTTAACCGATTTAATTAATCAAACTGTGGGAGACGCGTTATCTGACATGTTGCTTGTCGAAGCAATTCTCGTTAACAAGCAATGGACCTTAAAAGATTGGGATCAGGCATACACGGATTTACCCAGTCGTCTAGTCAAAGTCGTCGTAAGTTTACTTATTTGCACTTCAAACTATTAAAGATATTCTCTAGTTCTCAGTCAAAATATACTTTTAGGTATCCGATCGGCACATATTTAAAGGAACTAATGCCGAAAGAACCCTTATTGAACCTGTGGGGCTTCAAGAGAAAATCGATGCATTGGTTGGGAAATACAAGGATGGAAGATCATTTGTTCGGTATGTAACTCACGATATTATTGCTGTTGTCAAAGGTTGGCAAATTTCCTAAGACACTTTTTTAATCTTTCGCTGCAGGCCGTCCGGTACTGAGGACGTTGTACGTGTTTATGCCGAGGCAGCCACACGAGAAGAGTGTGATGAGTTAGCATACAAAGTTTCCGGTCTGGTTTATGATGAAGCTGGTGGCACTGGTGGAAGGCCAGAAGAATTTTTGTAATATTTTTTTGAATAGATTTATTATTTATTTATTTTGAAAAAAAAGAGCGTGCAGCCTGGAAAAATCATAATGAAACACATATTTGCATAATAATGATATATAATATAAATAAAGGAGATATTTAAGGTTTTGTATTAAAACGTATATAATAAGCCTGGCAAGCCCGTGGAAAAAACCCTTAATTTCCCACGTTTTATTTTGGCAAGCTTGTAAATACAAAATAATTCATCCGTTTATAGCTTTTTCAAGAAATTAATTTGCAACGTCTACTGATTTATGGCAAATAAAAAAAAACCACTTAAGTACTCTAATGCATCATTCCATTTGTAATTACAAATATTAATATTATAATATATTCTATAAATAAAAAATTTATAGTATATACAGTACAAATTAATTTTTTTAAAAAAATAATAACCAACATATTCATATTTATTAAATCGTTTTGATAAATTCCAATTATTTATCTGCAATTGCATGTAAAAATCCAAATTAATAAATCAATTATTTAAAAAGCATATACTGTACAGTTAGCTCCAGTTCAAAATCCTTTTGTTTATATTATATGATATAAAAACTATTTTATTAATCATATGATTAATTTCAATAAGAAAGCATAAAATTTTGTTAAGCAAAAATTAATTTTTAGTATATTAAATCCTATATATCAATATATTAAGTATATTGGATATAAATAGTATAAATGATATATAATAAAAAAATATAAAAATAACAAATACAGTAAATATTTAAAAATAAATAACAATTATAACTTAAAGAAATATTATAATAATAAACTATAAAAATAAAAATAAAAAAAAAATAAATTTATTTTATTTTCAAGATTATAGTTAGAAATCAAAGATTAATAACAAGTATTCAAATATTCAAATAGTTTATATATATATATAAATTATATATTATTATATCTTCAATTTAAAATTTTTTTAAATATCATAGATAAAGATGGGTTCCTAAATTAAAAACAAGAATATAATTCAAATGTCCCTTACTATTAAAAAAGTTTTTTTTTAATATAAGGTTAAAAAAAAATTATCTATAAAGATTTTTTGCAATTTAGGACACTTGATTCAAGTGTTTTTTGAATTATGTCCCTATTAAAGTAATGAATAAATAATTATGTCCCTTCAAAAGGGATATAATTGATCAGTGAAATTTTATATGCTAAATAGTTTAGGGACCCATCCTTAATCATAGATACTTGTTTAATTATAAATAAAAATTATTTGAAATTTTTTAATTATATATATAATGTGGATCAAAAATAATTGAACTGATTTTTTTTATTATAATTCAAAAAATAATAATTTAATTATTTTTTTTTTTAACTCCAAATTAGGTTGCATGTTTATTATGTTTAATTAATCCTATATGGAAGACTCTTATACATGTTTATTGGAAATATTATATACAAGGCTTAACTTATTGAGACTATACAACACACCCGTCATAAGCCAAAGGCCTCTAGATGTGATTATGGAAAATAAAAAAAATTGCTCAATTCTATTCTAATAACTTCTTACTAGTCTAAAACATCATGGCCAGCTCTCATTCGGAACTGCTACCCCTATATAACTGCTGTGGTCCTATGGAGGTTAAAATTTTTATTTTTTTAAGAAAGTAAAGGAGGGGAAAGAAAAGTAGTTGAAAAGTTTGTTTCGATAAATAAAAACCTTTCAATATTAACTTTAGTCCATCGGGATAAATCCTTTACCATCACCTGCAGCTGGGTGAACCATTTAATTTCCACTATTCCATTGCTGACCAAGAACATTCAAGGTACTTATAGCAAGACTTATTGTAGGAATTATTGCTTATAAAGTCTTATAATCTGACATGCTTGATGCCTTCTTGGGATAATCATCAACAGAGGAAGCTTGTTACTGGATTGGAATAAGACTTCTTTTGATCTTGAGGAGAAAAGAAACCAGTCCAAAAGGGGAGGGGGAAACATCAAACCACTTTTATTTAAGAGAACACTACAACACCTTGCTCTTCTGCTTTCACCAATTACATCATCGTTGTTATGTTATGTAACGGAAACACGTGAGGAGTACATGACTTGTTTACATTTCTGCTACATGTTGATCAACCAATCCAAGATTTTGACTAATCACCAACTAGAGATTCTGGTGTAACAAAAAATTCAGGGTCAAACTGGGGTAGGCAAAATTCCTCAAAAATTTTTGAAAATTTGTTGACATGCTTGAGAGAGCTGCTGCAAACATTTGATTGGTGGAGAGGATCATATGTCCATATCTACAGACCAGAACACTAGCTTATCCACCCGCCTCCAGCAAAGGTGTTCACTTATGGTGGATCCAAGGTTTTTATGGAGCTTGGAAAATGCATTTACTAGTAGACTCTTCTAGAATTCCAGACCTTAAGGAAGAGTAAAGAAGGGCGTTTTTTGACAGGTTTCTTCTTTCCAATAAGGTGTTCTTGCCATAGACCAAATGGGTGAGTTTTTGGATACTCTGTTACTAAAATATCCAAAAGGTTTTGAAGAAAAAAAAGTAGACAAGTGGAAGAGGCTTTTGTTTTCAGTAATATGTGTTATTAAAGACAGTATTTAGACTTTATTATTGAAAAATAAAAGAAATTAAACTTTTTTCTGTCTATTATTATATTTCCTAATTAGAAAACTTTCTTCAAAAAAAAAAACTTCTCAAGTTCTCTTTTCAAAACACTTTAAACACCAAGATATAATATTATTGTCAAGTATAACAGATTAAAAAAAACATTAAACTTTACTAACTTATTAATTTATAAATTACAAAAGCAAACAACTTCAGTTTATCTTCTTCTTGTAAAAGAGAAAAATAAAAATCAAGCTTCTTAATTTACAGTAAGGTCTCAGGAAACCAGCATCCCTATCACCAATATAGCCAGTTATATGACAGGTTAAATATCTCCTCTAGATATTGTAAAAACTTAGGAAAGATTAGATCTTATCCAATAAATCAGACAACCTCATCACTTTCCTTGAGCTAGAAAAATATTAGACTTTCTATTACTTTTACAGAGATAAAAAAAAAATCTTATTGTATATATATCAATCCATAAAAATTAAAACTAGTTTACCTCTCCAAAATCAGTGTGCCATAAACATATTCTTCAGAAAGAACAATTCCAACAACAACAAGTAAACAAGATCTATATGCATTAAATAAACAAGACCTACATGTATCAAATAAACAAGACCTATATGCCTTAAGCAAATGAGATTTTCATGTGTCAAGTAAACAAGATTCATGTATGCCAGATCCAGAACTTTAACAATATAACACATTACATTAACAAACCATGTCCACATCAAAACACTTTATCAATCTAACAATATTAACATACAGTATATATTAACAAACATACTTATATTAAATTATATCTATATTAAATATTTTATTAGTCAAATCCTATCAAATATCACATTTAACAAATATTATGGAACAAACATGTTATAAATCAAACATCACAACAAGAAAATCTGATGATACCTATAACCAATAATGCTATATCCAAACTTCTCATTGCAATATCTTCTTTATTAACCATTCAAATTATTCAATATATCACATCAATAACACTGATGATCACAATATCCAATAACACATCACTTATAATTTCCTTCATTTTCTTGAATATAGTGTTAATTGAGAGAAGCAAACAGTATGTGTCAATTGTATATCAGGACTATACATGTGTTCATATTTAATTCAAACATTTTTTAAAAACTGTATTATGTTTATATTACTAAGTAACAAATAGTAAGTAATTGGAAGTCATATTTAATTCAGAATTATATTGTCAATCAAAAATTTTTTTATAGTAATAAGAAAACATATATAATCAAGATCTCCAAGACAAAATCATTACTACTAATCCTTTCAATACTTCCACTATTTCATACCTATCAAATCATTTATCTATATGGTTCATACTTATTTTCAACCTAACTAAAAAGATGTGTAAGTTTTCTGTATTTCAAATTGAATTCTTTTCCAGTCAAGACAAGAAAAGTTTTTTTACTTGAGTATTAGTCTATAAAGAAAAACTAATCAAACATCTTGATAAATTCATTGAATATCAAATTTCATTTCAATCAATTTTCAAGAAAAATAACAGCCTTAAAAACTCTATCTTTTAGATGGTCCTAAAAAAGGATAGAACTATTTCAAGCACATTTCATGAAATAGAATTAAAATCACTAGAAACATCTCAGGAAACAAAGAAACTTATACTCTTAAAGACACTTACCATTCCAACTTTCTATCCACATATCAACCATTCACATTTACAGAATCTCAAATCAAATATTCTAATTAACAGAGTACAGACAAATCAACTCAAATAATTTTTAGTAATCAATCAAATTTCAGTATAATTTTAGACAAGCCCCTTCTATTGGCTATTAATACAAATAAAAACCAGTTTATAGTTATACATTAAATCCCTTTATTGAAAACCCCTAACAACCAAATTGTATTAACTATTGACCTAAACTTTATTATATCTGATAATATAGAAATAAGCAATATTAATAGCACATATCAGTATCAAGAAAAAGAAAGCATTCCTGTCCTAAGCCAAATAGAAGATCTAGCCAACTTCTCCAACATTATAATCACCACTACTTCATGATTTAGCACAAACTTTACTTCTAGACCTATATCTCCAATCTTATTAGCAATAGCCAAACAACCAAACAATATTAAAAATCCTATAATCACAAACAAACATGACAAAAAAATACTGTTCAAAAAGATAATAGAAATAGCAAAAGCTAGACTACTTAAATATGAAAAATACTAATTACTTCTATCTATAGACATTGAAGAGTATGATACTCCAAATATCAACTCAGACAAAACAGACAATCTTATCTTACCAGACTTTGCCAGTAAGCATAATGCAATTATCTATTGGACCTCCAAATTCTTTTCTATTAGAAGCAATCCCAAGGAACTAATTAAATTAAT